ACATCCATCCCAGAAAGGGTTGATGACTGACTAGTTGACACACCCAGTGCAGGGGAGACCCCTCTCCCAAGCCTGCCTTGAGTTTCACACACACACACACACACACACACACACATGCCCATCCCTGAGACAACACCCACAGGAGGGAACGGATAAATCTCAAAGCTACAGGAAACCAGGGGGCCAGGGGCTCCAGGCCGGTTTCAAATCCAGCCCTCAGAGCGCTGCAGGGTGGGACAAGCTGAGCCACCCACTCTCCAGAAGCTGTAGGTAGTGGGCCCCACGATGTACTCCCAGTTCACAGGCTCTCTGATCTTGCTCTCCCCAGAGGAGTTCAGTTCCTCTGAGTGGGAGAACCGGATCTGTGGGTGGCACTTTTTTCCCCGGTGAAGTCTAAGTAACCATGACAGCAGAAGCTAAGGAGGGTGGGCCTAGCTCTGAGAAGTTCCTTCTAAGTCTGCAAATTCCTCTCCTGTCTCCCCCTCTCTCCTCCCCTGCTGTCCTCTTTTCTCTCTTGTTGTCTCCCCTCCTCTCCTCACCTATCTATTTCCTCTCCTCTCCATCTCTTTCCTCCTCTTTCTCCACCTCCTTTCCCCCTCCCCCTCCCCCTCTCCCTCCCCTGCCCTCTGCTTCTCACAGTGTGGGGAGCACTCCCACTGCTGGCCTCTGTCCCCCGAGCTGGGAACGGGAGTCCAGGGGTCAGAACCCTTACCCGAAGTCTCCTCTGCACCTAAATATTTACTTCTGTGTCTGCCCACAAAAATTAATACCCTGATTTTGTCGGGCGATTCCCACTGCCCACTTTGCCTCTGGAAAGTCATGCTGGCACTGGTTCGCTCCGGCTGGCCACAATGTCAGTGCCCACAATGCCCGCACAGAGGCCTCTGGTTGCGCATACAAAGCACCCAGCCAGCCATTATCATTCCGGAGCTGAAATCCACCCCAGCGTGCATCTCATCGGTCATTCAGCAGCCCTTAATGACTTGTCAGTTCCTTGCCCTGCCATTTTCTGTCTAATTAATTCTTTTATTGTGCACCGGATAAAGAAAGACAAAGGGCTCCCGGCAATAATGATTCATTAAAATGCAGCGCCTTCCCTGGAGCTCTTGGCCCTGTACCAGCCTGGCTGCTCTGCCCCGCCAGGCCTCGCGCCCCTTAACCCTTTGCAGGATCCTGGCTTGGGGTGCCAGCCTGCCTCAGCCTCTGGGGAGCGGGTGAGTGGGGCTCCTGCAGCCGCTGGTGTGCAGGGAAGAACCTGGCCTGAGCTGGTTAGGGAGCCTCCCAGGGCAGCCGCAGCTGGAGGAGCCCAGGTTCTGGCCCCCGCCCTCTGGGACAGATGGGCTAGGGAGAGCTGGGAGGTGCAGAGAGGGCTGCTGCTATAGGTACATAGGAGCCTGCCCAGCACAGCCTCGCCTGGGCAGGGGAGGCAGGGAGGCTGCCTGAGCCCCCGACCTGCCATCCTAGGGCCCAGCTGAGAGGGGCCAAGCCAACAAGTCACCGTGAGGCTGGGGGAGAAACGGGGAGAGGAGTGAAATTCCCAGGAGTCCAGGGACGAGTCTACTAGCCGGATGGACCACAACGGTGCTTGTCACATGTGACTATATGCTGGCCTTGGCCACACCTGGTTAATCCTCAGGGCACCTCAGCAAGGCCATCGTCATCCCATGGTCATGGGGGAGCTGAGGCACAGAGAGGCTAAACTGGCAGGTGGCAGAGCTCCCAGCCACTGGCTCAGTCAGCCTTCTTGTGGGGGAGTCCGAGGCCATCTCAGTGCAGCAGGAGCACCCCAGAGGCAGGGATGGGAGAGGTGGCATCGAGGCCTATATTACTTTTACTTAATTTGCTTATCAGCAAATGCACCTTATGTTACAAACGAGCAAAAGGAAGTATCATGTGATTGGAGGTAAAGTCGCAGCAGGTTCCAATCTCACTGAGTTCCCCCCACACCAGGGTGGGGAACATTCTCATCTTACAGGTGGGCAAACCAAGCTCCCAGAGGACAGCCAGGTGCCCCAAAGACGCTGGACGAAACAAGACACAACAGCCCTCAGCGCCAGGCTTGGCCCTTCTCTGCTCCAGGATGGGCCTCATGTGAAGGTGGGACCCAAGCCTCAGGCATCTCCCCCTTTTCCCCTTCCCTCCCCGACTGTCCCCCTTTGAAGGTTCCTGCAGCCCCCCGTGAGCCCCATCCTGGGGAGATGTCATCTGCAGACCTGCTCCCTCCAGGATACAGGAGGCTCCAAAAGTGGGCAGGCTTCTGCCGGAGTGAGACAGGAATCGGGAGCCTCCGAAACGCAGACAGGGCGGTGATGTCCTCCCTTTCCCCGACGACTCGGAATGTAAGGGTTCCCAGAGTGACAGGGACCAGGTGTGTCCCTGCAGCCCCCAAGTACGGCCTGGCCAGGGACAGCAGGGGGTCAGTAGGCACAGCCCCTCACCTGCATTGGCCAGCTCAGCCGCCATGTCCTCAGGATGGGTCAGGGCTACAGCGCAGGCTGCAGGGAGCAGGGGCCGGGTCGGGGGCCGTGTCGGAGGGCACCCTACATCTACATACTCCCAGCCCTCTGAATGATTCCTTGGCTTGAGTGCCTGGTGGGGGCAGCCCCGTCTCCCTGTCCTGGGGTCTGCACTGTCCTCCAGTGGGAGTGGGGCATTTGGCCATGCTGACTCGTGGCCCCGAGGCTAGGTCCTGGCTGACACAGGCTTTCTGTGAAGCCCGGTGGAATGAGTCCATGGAGGCTGTCCACACAGGTGGCGAGGACTTGTTGAGTGCCTGGGGGTTGTCATGTCGCCACTGGGAAACACATCCCCCCGTCCCGATGGACAGCAGCCCCTGCAAACCTGGTCAGCCAGAGACAGGGTTCACGAAGATCCTCTGTCCTGGGCCAGACACTGAGGAGGAAAGATTGGGGTCCAGAAACCAGGCCAGGACCCCAAGACTGTGACACCCATCCTGGGCGCTGTCCTCCTAAATGTGGCCTAAAGTAGAAGCAGGCTGTGTGTGTCCCAAATCTGCCCCCCGGGTCAGGCCTGGTGAGTGGGGGTGGCAGGCCCCTCCCAAAGTAGACAGTCCCTCAGCCGTGAACTGACACCCAAACAGAGACTCCACCCCTGAAAGTCGATACCGTCCCAGGAAGGGCAATTATGCCCGGGACCAGAAGGGGCTTTTCTGGTCTATCAGAGCCGGGCTGCATCTTAAATGCCGTTTCCCCTTTCTCTCTGAACAGGGCATTCTCTTTAGCTGAGATCGGAGGCAACACACTCTTTTCTGGATGAGGAAATAAAAAATGAGGAACTTTCCCACTAGCCCATCCCTGGGATGGGCTGCTCTGAGTGAGAACAGGGCTCTACACAAGTTTGGGCAAACACCCCCGTGGACTTGGAGCAAGGCAGGGCCGGGGCCAGGGCCGGCCTTGTGAATAATGTTACCAGCCAGGAGCTCCTGAAACACCCTCCCCAGCCAGAGGGCCAGGGCAGTCCCCAGGGCAGTCTCTTCATAGAGGTCCTGACTCCCAGGGCATCCACCTCAGCTCCCTGAGTGTCACTGCGGGAGGCAGAGACCCCAGGGGCCCTTGAGTGCCCGAGAATGCTCCCAGAGAGGAAGCCAGCCGAGGGCCTCCAGGGAGGGGAGGGGTCCTGGGACAGGCAGGGGAAAGGGCAGGGCATCTCGTCTTCATGCGCAGGCAGGGGCACGGCCTCCCCAGGAGAGGGGTAACTAACTGTCCTCCCTCTCCCTGAAGCTTCATGAGCTCAGGGGTAGGGAACCCGTGGAAACCCATCCAGGACCCAGCGCCATGAGGCTTTGACACCAGGGTAGGTTGCGGGGGAAGGAGGGCCAGGCCCCCAGGAGTTAACACACAGGAGCCCTGCCAAGTCCAAACAAAACTGCAGAAAGTTCAGCCCTCGGGAGCCTGGCAAGGCCTGAGCGAACCCAGAGCAGCAAAGGGGCGGCCTCATTCGCCTATCAGCGAGCTGGACGACGGGATTCCTCCGTTTGGGGTGTCAATGGGAGGGCTCTGAGGGCCATATGGGCCTGGACAGCCCTTGGCTGGGCACAGGACGAGCTGGGCCAGTTCCATGCAGGCAGAGGGCTGTGAAAGTCCAGGGAGCCTGGCTTTCTGTAGCCCCCTCCCATACCCCGCCTTGCCCCCGAGGCTTGGCACACCCTGGACCACACCAACCCTCATAAACCCGGACAGTTCTTCCCAAACACTGCTTTTGGCAGGCCCTGGACGCGGCTCCCCAGCATGGGGCGAGGGACGTGCCCTGGACTGCAGCCATGCAGGCGGCTGGGCAGGCGAGGGAAAGGGGTGAATGCCCCCCTACCTGGGCCACCCCATTAAAATTGCAAAGGCAGCTGCCTCATGTATCCAGGTTCTCATGAGAAGCATAATCTTCCTCTTACCCCCCAGCCCCGAGAGGCCCCTGAACCAGCCGCGTGTGCCGGGGAGGCCCAGCTAGGGGGTGAGGCTGCCCCTTGCTTGCTGTCACTCCCCACAACCATTTCTCCCTAGAAACACTTTCCGCCAACCAGACAACCCTGCCTGGCTCCTGCAGGGCGGCTTTTATCCCGCTCCCAGCCTGGCCCTGTGCCAGCGCCCGAAAAATGCCGTCAGCCACCCAGAAACCCACTCTGGGATTTGCCTGGGAGGAAACCACAGCCCCTGAATCTGGCCCATCTGGACCCGCTTTGCCTACTGAGGAGGCCCCCTAGGAAGGAAGATGCATCGCCAGCTTCCTGGAGGTTTCTGAGATTTGTCATGTTCAATTTCAGACACGGTGCCCAAAAGGGAGGGTGGTCTCATCACCCCCCTGGGATGGAGATGGGGCTCCACCTTGGGTTGGGGTCTGGCTGGGTCCAGGAGCTCTGATGGCCCACGTCCTCCGAGGCTCAAAGAGCCCACCTCTGCCCCGGCCAAGTGCCTTCAAAATGGGGCCCGAGGGCCTCGGAGCCCCACACCCCCCAGGCTTAGGGAAAGCAACAAACAATGCAGCCCGTGTAGATAGAAAGCATTTTTTTTTTTAATTTTATCAAATCAATCTGTACAAAAGTTAGCATGGCTTGGTCAGAAAAGTAGTGAAACACCACAGCAGGTAAGTGAGAGCAAAAGTCCAAACTCAACACTGAAAAATAGATTGCATAAAAACGAGTGTGCTGCAGTTCCCCACCCCCACCCACAGAAAGAGATATGCAAAAAAGACTTCTCTAGAAAAAGGTAGGAAAGTAGAAAAAGTAAAAAGAAGCAACTTCTTCCATGTATTTAAATTTACAAAGTTTAAAGGCACGAGTTTCCATAAAATTGGCAGTTATCATAGCTCAGCGTACAGCGGAAGCAGTACAGGTAAGTCAGGTATTATTCAGCTAAAATGAAGAATCTAAAAACGCTTAGTGAAGAAGGTTTTAGTTTCACAGCTTGGAGGTGGCGCCTGGCTCCTAAGAGCCAAGATTAACGTGTGTCTGAAGCCACCACATCCCAGGAAATTCCCGTCTCTACCGCTTAGCACGGTTGTGGGCAGGGATGAAACTCAATGATGTCCCTGCCTCCTAAATCTCAAGTCAATACCTGGTGCCAGGAGCACCCCAACCTGATCAGAGACACTACAAGGCAAATTCCTTCTCCCTCACCGTTCCCAGCAGCCTCCAGGAAGCCTGGGCCCCGATCCAGGGTCCCAACCCCGCCTGCCCTCCTGGCCCAAGTCCTCAGCTCCCAGGCTTCCATTTTATCTTAAATTCTACTATCTGCACAAATTACTTCATTCATTAAAGATAAAATAATACAGGACATAAATACATCTTAACAGCTTTCAAAACAAATCAAACACGTTTGAGCTTCAAGAATTAAAAATTTAAAAAAAATAAAATAAAAAGAGAGAAGTGTTAATCACAGCCAAACCTTCCTCGGAAGAGCCCTAACTACAAGGAACACCTCGGAACTAACAAGCTGGTCCCCAGAGACGCTCCTGCAGACACATCCCCGCCAAGGTGCTCTTGCGGATGCATCCCTGCCCAACTGCTTCTGCGAACGCATCCCCACCAAGGCTGCGGGTGTGCCCTTTCGCCGCGGAATTCTCATCCATTGGTCCTGGGAGTTCTTGGTGCTGAGACTGGCCAGGACCTCAGAACGAAGGGGGCCTGGAGACCCAGTGCCTCTTCCCTCCTTTTGTCCTTTGTACCGTGGCTCCATAAGGCGCTGGTGTCGGCGCAGAAGAGGGACCAAATGGCCATCCTTCGTTTCGAAGTTGCCAGTCACCACAAAGAGAGAAGAGGGCAAGAGGGCTTTGTCCATTAACGGATTTCGGAGATCTGGACGCAAAGCAAAGGGGCTCGGTTGGTCTCCTGCACACGTCAGCAGGCACTTGATAGAGTTGGGCACACACGGCTGCCTCTTCTCACCTCGCTGGCCAACACCTCCGGGGAGACCTCAGATGCTCTGTCTTTTCAGAGATAAAGGTTCTCCTCTGCCCACGCCGGCCCCCTCCACTCAACCATGGTGCCTTCAGGGTCTGGTCAGGGTGGTATACACGGGCTGGTCCCAGTTACTGGGGGGGCTGTGGGCAGGTGGCACAGAGAGGCTGCTGAGCAGCGGTGAGGTATAGGGCCGGCGGGATGAGTGGAAGTAGGGATACTGGTAGAGGCTGGACGGGTAGCCAGCGTATGGGTTGTAGTAGTTGGGGGCCTGCAGGTCGGTGTAGTCACACTGTGAGCTGGTGAAGGAGCTGGCAGCTGCTGCCGAGGCGGCCGTGGTGACATTGGCCTGGGCGCTGTAGGAGCTGTAGTCGGTACGGCCTGGAGAGCCGTGGGACTGGTCGCCGTAGTGGCCAGGGCTCAGCTGCTCCGTCTTGATGTGGGGCCGAGGGGGACCTGCTTCGGTGGGTGATGCGGAGGCCGATGGGGCTCCCTTGTGGGCCCACACGGGGGATGCTCCAATGCCCGCGGACCCGGAGTGTGAGTAGGAGGCACCCCCATAAGAGCCAGAGGTGGAAGGCTGGCCCGGCTCTGTGGGCAGGGCCGAGTGGCCGTTGAGGGGCAGGTACTGGTCAAACTCGTGGACGTCGAAGGTGTCCATGTTGCCAATGACCTCACTGCTCAGCTCTGAGATGTCCACGTTACTGAAGTCGATGTTCTGGCGCCCACTGTCCACCAGGCGGCGGCCTTCCAGCTTCAGCTCTTGCTTGCCCCCTTGGTGCAGGTCCGTCTTGGGGGTGGTAGGTGGGGTGGGTGGCCCGTGGGTCTGCCCTAGGGTCAGAACACATTGCAGGGATGAATGCCCCTTCTGTGGGGTGGGGGGTGGGGCTGGCAGGGCCGGCAGGCTGGCGACATGCACACGGGAGGAAAACCAGCCCGCTAACAGCCGCAGGTAGGAATCAACAGCTTTTTGTTCCTGTACATTTCCCAGAAATTCCAGCAAAACCAGACCCAGACCTCACTCCCTGCCTGAGAAAATTCCGTTAGGCACTGTTCTATGGAAAGACCTGGGGCCAAGGAGGCCCCACGGTGAACACCAGAGTGGAGAAAGAAGAGACGACCATGTTTAGGAAGCTCTCAAGGAGCGCCCAGCCTGTGCATGTGATAGCAACACAATCCACACAAAACCTGTCCATGGCTTTAGCCAGCTTCGGGGCCAAGACTGCACCCCGGTCAGCGGGTTCCTGAAGCGGGGCTGCTGACCACCATGCTGGCAGCAGAACCAGCAAACAGGCCAAGGGAGGCAAAGGTGCCTTCGGTTAGGACAGAAGCCCTATGCCACAGGGTGCCAACCAGGCAACTGTGAGACCCTCCAAGCTCAGAGGGGCTAAGCAGGGTACCCACTCACCCCCAGAGCACGCATGGGAAGCAGCTGCCACTGGGAGCTTTGGGGGGATACCCAAGGAAGGTTTGGCCCTCTTGTGGGTGCCTGCCCTGGGAGTGAGCCCCTGTCTCCTCCCCGCCCCCGCCCGCCACTGCCCATCTCTGCCATGTCCAGAACCCCCACTTCTCCCGTTGGCGATTCTCAGACGCTGGGGGCCCCAGGAGCCAACCTGTATGGTCCCCATGGTGGTGTGCGTCGCCAAGGCCCGAGTCAGTCTTGTACACAGCACCGCTGGGGTGGTGGCCCAGTTCGGCGCCTGAGTCCGAGTCACTCTGGCCTGTCTTGACGCTCTTCCTCCGGCGCGGCTGGTACTTGTAATCGGGGTGGTCCTTCTTGTGCTGAACCCGCAGCCGCTCGGCCTCCTCCACGAAAGGGCGCTTCTCACTCTCACTCAGCAGGCTGCAGAGCCAAGGGCACAATCAGGATGGCAAGGGCGTCCAAGCCAGCACCCGTGTCCACGCTGCCTGGGAGCTAGACTGTGCCCAGATGAAGTACAAGAAGGGGACCCGGATGACCCTGACCAGGAAAGCATGCGTGTACCCGAACCTTGGGGGACACCAGGCAGTGCTCCCCCTCTCTGAGCCATGGGGCCAGTTGGTGAGATCTGTGTGCTCAATAAAGTCACAGAAGGAGCGATAACAAGACCCAAATCTCATCTCCTTCTTCCTCTTCTGACTCCCCCAGCCTGTGTTTGTCTCCTCCCTTATGGGCGCTCTAAGGCAGGCGGGGGAGGAGGGCAGGACCCAGCTGAGAATATGCTAGGGACAAAGCGAGCTTTCCAGGATCTCAGGGGGGACTTCTCAGGCAGCCGGGCTTCTCGGACCTCCAGAAACTCTGACAAAATTCAGTGGTTCTCAACGAGTCTCAGACCACACACTGGCCTCTCAGACTCTTCCAGAAGCTCACTTGTAACTGCCTGCAGACAGGGCTTTGGGGCACAGAGGCACAAGTCCACGATGCCCCAGACAGACAGATACAGGAGCACAGAAGACAAACATGCAAGCGTTGATCGCCCACTCATGAGGTGAGGGGCAGAAAACAGTGAACGGGTGCCCTGAACCCAAAGCCATCCATTTTAAAACCAAGCAGAGAGCGTTTGGTGGGGTGGGCTGCCCTGAGCAGCAACTTTGTCACTGCTGCTGTCCAACTTTCTACAAAAGCCACCAGCCTCACCATGCCAAAGTGTGCAGCTGTGTGGGGAAGGTGCCAGCAGAGCAGACCTCCCTCTGCCCTTTCCAAGGAGTGGCACCTCCAGACACAGCATGCTGCCCACCGCTGTGTCCTGCTCCCAGACCGAGGCAACCTTTCCTGGGGGAGGAATAGACTTCCAAGCTCTGAGGCCAAATACCCCCCACCCCCAACTCTGCATGCCAGCCACCACCTTAGGCAGGCTATTCCCATTCCAGGCTCCAGGAATGTGGCAAGGGTGCCACACTCCTGCTGCTGCCTTCTGTGGGCCCACACCCGGAGGGCCCGCGCCTGGTCCCTGCTGGCCAGAGGGTGTTTTTCCACTAGGGCTCGCCCTGGGAACAGCCACTGGGAGCAGGGCCGAGACCGGGCGTAGCGCCACCTCCCCGAGCCCCCCAGAACTCACTCGCAGCCCCTGTCCCCGGACTGGGGACACTCACCGCCACAACTTGCCCAGTGTCTTGCTGAGCTCGGCGTTGTGCAGGTGCGGGTACTGGTCGGCCAGCTTACGGCGTGCCGCTTGCGCCCACACCATGAAGGCATTCATGGGCCGCTTCACGTGTGGCTTGGCCTTGAGCGCGCCTCCGCCTCCGCCGCGCACAGGCATGGGCACTAGGCTCCAGTCGTAGCCCTTGAGCACCTGCGACACGGCGTCGCGAATGCAGGCTGGGAAGCGTTCGTCCGCC